GAGTGATTTTTGGACTAGTTTTTGTCCATTAAAGAAAACCTTAATGGTGTGTGTGTGTGTGTGTGTGTGTGTGTGTGTGTGTCATTATGGCAAAGGAAAGAAGGAGCGCTTGCAGTTGAGAATTTTAAAGCAGCTGTAACTCCATTTGCTTTAACATGTTAATGTTGTTTTCAACGTTGTTAAATCTGTAGCTTTTATTTAAAATAATCCCTGCTTATCCTGCCATGAAGATCCTTGTTTTGGTACTTCCTGTTATAGGGTGACAACGCTCTGTCCCGATCTCCTAATTGTTCTCTTGTATTGTCACCCTGTCACATGGGCCTCCTATGGAGACTACAAGTGGCTTTTTCAACACACATTGCACTGGCATGGTCCACTGTTGTCACCATCAGGAAACCCACCCTGAGAAATGTTGTACAGCCCACGTTGGAGGAAGTGGCTGTAAAGAGGCTACGGGCGATCAGCAGCACTGAGATGTAACAAAGAATAGGGGGGGGGGGGAAAAAATGGTAATTGTTTATGGCGCACAGAGCAAACTGAATGTCACCCAGTGTGGGTTTACATCTACTTTAAGACCGAGGCGACTGCTGGAAGTATTGGAAGTCGCCTGTGTGCGAACCGCCTTCGCCTTGTGCTTTGTTCACCTCCCCCCCGTGTCAGCTTCCGTCTACCTGAGATCACAGGTGCTTGTTTGCCGTCACTCTCCAGAGGTTACTGGTCTCTTCCACGTCGATTCACAATCCGTCCGACCAGTTTGGTTGGTTTCTCCACTTCCGCTCTCCTCTGGGCCGGATCCAAAGCCGTGAAAGATGCACAAACTCTCCCAGATGTATGGAAACGCGTTAACCCGTCAACGCCCGGAAGGGATGGCTGCCTTGGATCAGAAAGGGGGGGGGAGATAGGGTAGCACAGCAGTGGCGAGGGGGTTAAGACGCTTCTGTTACAAGAAAGAGAAAGCAGAGGAGGAAGGAGAGACGGCGCACACAGAGGAGAGACGGTTTCCAGAGGGAAGTAAATAGACACAGTGCAGGGTGAGCCTGAGAGGTGGGAGGGTCACCAGGAAGCCAGCAGTGGCTGGGGTGACAGGAAGGAGAGAGGGAAAAACCAGAAGCGAGGGACTGATAGCAGGACATGCAGAGGCTCGCGCAAGTATGGAGGAAAGGGGTAAGCAGGTGCTTAGGGGGCAGCCTGGGAATGCAAGGGTTAACGGCAAACTTTCACTACCAAGTTGTTACACTTTGTATCCTTCTTTTATTTCATTTTTTATTTCTCAAGTATTAGTTGGATGGAGACAGCTCAGGAAGTGTTAAAAACGCTGCCGTCGCCAAGGTGCGGCACTTTTAGTGATCAAAGCTATTTTATTGCTTTTCTTCTCATTATTCATTTTCATTTTGGGTTATCTAGAATTGATTTAAAGTAGATGTAAACTCAAACTGGATGACATTGACTTTGCTCTGTGCACCAAATTAACATCTTGTTGTTTTTCCCATAAAACCATATTTTACTTTTTTTTTGTTTTTTTTTTTTTGTTCCCTTCATTCTTTCTTCCCATCTGATGATCTCCTCCAGCCTCCCTCAGCCACTTCCTGTATACATGCTCGCTCTCACCTCGGCTGCACATCATTGCTCTAGACCAGCTTCCTGATAGTGACTGACAACAGTGCACCATACCCGAGCGATGTGTGTCAGTAGGGCCTCTTGTAGTCTCCACTAGGGGAGCATGTGACAGGGTGACAACACAGGAGAGCAAAAAGGCGGCCAGGCACAGAACTTTGTCACCTTTTTTAGAACGTAGTGGTTTTCGGGGTTAGCACTTCCGCCTTGCAGCACTGGGGGTCCCCGGTTCTAATCCAGGTCAGGACACTATCTGCAAGGAGTTTGCATGGTCTCCCTGTGCTTGTGTGGGCTTCCTCTCACACTCCAAAGACCTGATGGAAGGTTAATTGGCTGCTGTCTATATTGGTCCTGTATGTGTGTGCAATAGGGGCCTTAGGATTGTAAGCTCCTCGGGGGCAGGGACTGATGTGAATGTAAATTGTTGTGTATATTGTTGGCGCTATATAAATATCTATAATAATATTATTAAAAACAGGAAGTACCTGCATAAGGGTCGGCTTTCTGATGGCATACCTTCCAACTTTTTAGGACAAGGGACAGCGCAGTGTATTTAGGTAATGGACACACTCCTGCCATGCCCCCAATTATGCCGACCATTATGAATTTATATACCAAAAATGAATGGGAAATACTCCAAATTGTTCTTACTTTAATTCGGTATCATCGCTATTCCGATCGGTTTGTAATTTTTGTTACTTTAAATACTTGGAGGGGATAAATATTACGTAAAAGGGCTGTTCGCTTTTGTGCGCACATAATTATAACAAAAAGGAAGGAACAGGGGTTTACCAGAGTTATAACACCACAGCGTGGAGAATATATATATAGGAATAGCTGGGAGAGAGGGCAATGTAGTCGTGATGGGTGACTTCAATTACCCAGACATAAATCTCTCTCTCTCTCTCTCTCTCTCTCTTTTTTAATAAAAATACAATTGTTTGCATATTACATAAATAGTGGATTAATATCCCTCTTCCCACTCGACACGGGGATCTCTGCCCTTCTCCAGACATTTTAAGTGTGTGGTAATTGCCGGGTGTACATTGGTGGTGATGGGGCTCAGTCTGTTTGGTTTAACTGCCAAAAGCTCACCTTTTTTGTATATCCTGCACAAGACCCCTATGGATATGTTCTATCGTTCAGGTGAATACATTTTACATACCATTTTTTTGTTCGATTAGTCCATGATCCCCTGAGGAAGCAGTGTGTGAAACGCGTTGGGACTGGCTATAGTAATCTCCGTTTGAACAAATATGGGGTATCAAATGAATGTAGTTGTACATATGGGGATATGAGATCATCTAATGGGCTTATGCTCCTGATTATGATCATGGTGATTTTTGTACAGTGCAATCCTCTTGTGTACATGTTTTTATACTATTTATGTAATATTCAATAAATTGTATTTTTATAAACAAAAAAAATATCTCCATGCTGTGGTGTTATACCTCCTCGTAAACCCCTGTTCCTTCCTTTTTGTTACAATTGTTATTAACCCAAGGGGGAGAGGTCATACCAGGAGGCCGCTGTGTTAGCAATTCACAATTGTGTTGTTCTCTTTGTGCGTACATAAGCTAAAACACATTGCAACATGTAAGATGCGTTCCGGTGCCATTCATTGTAAATGGAATAACAACACTTTGCAAAGTAGAGCTCAACGCACCACCACGCACCACACCGCATGTACCATTCGTTCTTTTATCCATTCTGGTGTGTTGGCAGCCTATTCATTATTCATTATCAATAATAGCAATAGATTATTACCCATTATTTATTATTATTATTAATGATGCATAATGAATAATTCATAATGAATAATTTATTCTTAAGAATATTATTCATAATGATTCATCGTGAATAATAATAACCTATGTTAGCACACGCCATGGCCCGCGTGGATGCACCCCAACAGATCACTGCAGTGTGAATGGGGCCCCAAATGTTTATTCTCTGCACATTCATGGATGGTTACAGCTGACCGGAAATGTCAGGATATCTTTTTACAGAGCGAAATAGGAAGTGAGGGGAGATCTTCTAATGGTGACGTCTGTTAAGGTGACAACTATGAGGAGAGATTTCTGTTACTGCCTCTGGTGTCACCAGGACAGGAAAATAAAAAGGGGAAGGGAATCTACCTAATGGGATAGGATGCAGCATGTCACCAGCACACTGGAGTAAAAAGCAAAATGTCCAAAAACATCTTCTTTGACGCAGGCACATCATGCCACAAAGAAGAATGTTTCAGGGCCACTCTGGGTCCCTTCATCAGGCTCAATATGACCAATTTTTGATATTTTTGGACATTTTACTCTGGCGTGCTGGTGACACATACTGTATCTTCTCGGATTAGATCTGCGCTATACGCAGCCCCTACAGCACCCATCTTGAAGGGGCATACTGGTACGGAGTGAATCGGGATACCCATTGATCTCTCTAATGGGGACACAGACCATATGAACCTCACACAAAAAATTGCCTTTTAGATACATATCACCAGGGTTTGTCATGGGGCAGTGGGGGGAATTTCTCAAAACTGGAGCAGACAAAATCTGGAGCAGTTGCCCGTGGCAACCACTCAGCATCTCTCTTCAGTCAGCTCAGGTAAGATTTGAAAATGAGAGACAGAGAAGCTGATTGGTTGCAGTGCAAGTCTGCTCCAGTTTTAATAAATTCCCCCCAGTGTGTTTAGGATTTAAATGTACGCATAGTGAACATGGATCAAAAGTAGCAGCGACATCATCATTGTGCTGTTCATAGCCTGAGCGTAGATGTGGGAGGGACCCAGCAGGCTCCACCCACTACAGGCTGCCTGTAGAAAACTACAGAAGGGGCGGAGACCAGACCAGTCATCCTGCACAAGCAGAGAGAGCAGCAGTGAGCGGTCTTTATTACAGGAAGCTCCATGTATCACATTGGATCACTGCACAGATCTGGAAGAAATACACAAATCTCACCAAGTTTCAAGGAAGAATACACAAGTAATTAACAATAATATCTACAACATTTTGTTAATGTGTATATAAAAACCTTCGGTTTTCCATTAACTTTAGAGATAATTCCTCTCATTTACTGTTGCCTCTTCAGGACAGGAAGTGAGGGGACCCCCCCAACACATAAATGTGGGGCAAGAAATAACAGGATATGTGTTGTTTGTTTCTTAATCCCTGATTGCTCTACAAAGCTAAAAATAAAAATTTGTAGAGTTAAAAAAATAAAAATAAACAAAGTTTTCGTTAAAATGTTAATGTTTTTTTTTGTAATAAGATGTTCCTAGTTTTGTACAGACAGGTTCTCTTGCTGACTGTTCCCCATGCTGCGATCATTCTCATATTCTTACGTTTCTCTCTCTCTCTCTCTCTGCTTTTTTTTATTGCATGTTCCAGCAGGAGCAGATTTCCTACTCACCCCCGGAGAGCCCAGGGCCAAACTGTGCCGCCCCCTCCCCTCTCCATGTCCCGGGGCCCCGTGCTTACAGGATGGAAGAGGAGCCCGTCAGGCTGCCAGCGCACCTGCGTGAGTACCGTCACCTTAAACTTTTACCCGGTCGCTCTGAGGTCATAGTTGGCGAGAAGGAAGGCAGTTTGGGGGTGGGGCCTAGGGCGCAGTGGGCTGTTCCTGGTTTTATCTCATTATGTCTTCCTTCTAAGCCTGGAGCAATGAAGTTGTGTGTGAAATATATCAAATACATTGACTACATTTCTTTTAAGGTGTTTTTTTTTTTTTTTTTAAGGCTTGCTCCAACGGCATTCCCGTAGCGTGCGTTGGCATGCTGCGGTGCTCATCATTTCGAATGCACATCCAACGCATAGGGGCAGGAAAAAAAAAAGTGTTTGGTACAATTTTCGGTCACTTGTGATGCTTAGGTAGCCTATTAACTTGAAGGGTCCGCCTAACACCCTATAGTCCTCATTCACACCCAGGCATACCGGCTACACGTGTCCTGTTCATTCACATTTTGTTCCCGCGTTTGCCGCCCGTCCCCCAATGGTTTCAGGGGTTTCCGCATGCGTGACAAACGCAACAAATTGTACATGTAGCAAAATCTGAGACTGCAGACCTGACCAGGGTGAATGAGCCCTTACAGTACCCATTACTGGAAACGCCTGACGCTAATATAAGCAGGCTCTAGTACACAAGGGAGGCTTCCCAGGTGCATAGCATGCATGCAATATAGGAGGTATATCAACCCGAAGGGTCACCATACATGTTACAATCCTACTTTTTTTTGGTTTACCAAAACCGGACCAACCCGATCTATACAAACCGTGTATCAGGCGGGATGTTCCACTACATAGTTGTTGGTAGATGTAAAGGAGATAGTACAATCTGATTACAGACTATGTGGTGAGCTTAGCCATGAACTTCTCTTTTGTGCTTCCTTTTTGCTCTTTTTTTTTATATACCATTGGAAGTGTTTTTGTTCTATCCGTTCAATAAGTGCATTAAAAAAAGCATTCATCTTGCCAGAGGTTCAGAGCTGTTCTGGTGACAGGTTCTCTTTAAAGCTGCATTCCGGGTATCACTGTCATTGGTCCAGCTTGGCCCGATGTATGCGCATGCCATATCTGATTGGATCCTGTGTAAACACTGTGGTAGCTGGAGCCACTACGGTGCTGGCCGCAGTTTTCCGAGTCCTGTATGGCGCTGTGCTGAGCGGTTTCCCTCTGCTCTGATAACGCAGGAGGTTGCTCGTGCGACATTGCAGCCATTCAGAGAACACCAGTGGTGTCACATGAGCGTGCGGCCCGCACCGGGTGACACCATCAGAGGGGGGTGACACCAAAATGACAGTCATTTTGATGTCACCCCCTCTGAAAAGTCAGCACTCGGTCATGGACAGCTGCACAAGAGAGGAAGGCACCTGGCGGGATAGGGTATAACCGTACCCACCCCTCCTCCTCTTTGCTGGCGTCCATCACCAAGATGGCCACCGGTAGTTAAGTGCGCTTGATGCCATTACGCCCGCACGTGGTGACGCCTCTGGAGAACACCTAGTACTTTAATTAATCATTACCAGGTGATTGGAGAAGGGGGCAGCTTGTGACATCATAACTCCCTCGTATGTAGTCTCTGGGGGGGGGGGCAGTCTCTGGACCTGTCTCTTCCGATGTAGATGGTAATATATAGACGTGTCTCTGTCACCATGATCATACTGTATATTCTTGGCCGGCTCATGATGGACCTAAAGGGTGTTTTTGTTTCCACCACCTTTCAATGGCGGGAGGGATGCTCATATTTTATTGTAAACCATCATCATAAAAAAATGGCCGGTCCGAGTCACACTTTTTCCAGGTTAGTGACTTGAGGCCCATTTACACCTAGGCATTGAAACACATGGGCTACCACAACCACACATCAATAGTCTGCGTATGTGAATGCATGACGTAACAGGGGGGGGATGGGCCTATAAAGTATCCATGTTACATGCAGCATGCTCAGCCGTGTTTTCATTGTAACCCTTCCAGGTATTGATTACCTCTCGCAGAGATCCTTCATCTGATTTCTTTTTTTTTCTCTCAAGAAGGACTGGGCCATCTTTGTTCAGGCATCATCCAGGGCCACAATCTACTTTCTGGACTGAGATGCCGGCTCAGAGGTGGCAGTCATGTAAATCCTGGTGCCTGTGCAGTTCTCGGCTGTGTTCGCAAATGATCAGCCCCTGCTGCAGCCTCTCACCTTGTGACTTGTTACAATGTGCAGTCTGATCACTGGGGGAGAAGAGACTGAGGAAATTCTTCCTCCTGCCTGCAGCAGACTGATCACTGGGGGAGGGGAGACTGAGGAAATGGCTCCCTCCTGCCTGCAGCAGACTGATCACTGGGGGAGAGGAGACTGAGGAAATGCTTCCTCCTGCCTGCAGCAGACTGATCACTGGGGGGGAGGGGAGACTGAGGAAATGGCTACCTCCTGCCTGCAGAAGAGTGATCACTGGGGGGAAGAGGAGACTGAGGAAATGGCTTCCTCCTGCCTGCAGCAGACTGATGACATAATCTCAGCCTAGGCAAAGTCACTGATTGGAGCTGAAGGATGTTTAATGATAGAAGGTGGAGCTTTTCTGGTAAATGACACTGTTGCTGTATATTGCGTCTGGAATGTATTCACACAGACTGGTAGAGATACTGACAGGGCAGCGTGACATTCATGCAGCTAGAATTATCGGAGGGATTCTGGGGGTGGAGCTTCTCTCTACCCCCCCCCC